AACAAATATTCTTTTTACTAAGCAATTTCAAAGTCACATATACAAAAACATCAGTCACACAATTCACATACACTCAAGGTTCCTCTAGAATTACAGAAAGAATATTAAGATAGTTTCTTATTTACTTGGAGGTAGGAAGGTAGCTATTTAGATTCATACTCACCTGTTCCAGAAGCCTTGTCTGTTGCAAGGGGAAATTGGAGGGTAAGGAATAGTTCTAGGGGTAGTTACTAATTCACACTGCCAGAACCAGCTAGCTAGTGTGTGTGTGTGTATCTCTTTGGCTGTGCATCCCAAAGAGATCCAGTAAAGACAAAGAGTTTTAAGGCAGGGAAGAGGGGGGTAGTGGAGTGTGGCCAGCCTGAAGTATGGTCTTGCGTTGATGGTAGAATGTGGCTGGCCCAGCTCTTAAAGCATGGTCCTTGCGTTATATAGTTGGATCTCCAGGTGGGTGGCATCTTGCCACACTGTAATCCCACCTACTTACAAGTCCATCCCATGAACTACCTGATTGGTGAATGTGCAAAAGGGCCGGTGTTCTATGGGTTGGGCAAATATTTGAAATACTATACTCTTTCTTATGGAATGCCATCTGGCCAGGTGTGGAATCTCAGCTTCAGGACATCTCTTTGTTGTGCTGATGAATCTTGGCCTCACCAGGCTGCCAAGGCGTTGTAAACAGGAAACTGCAATTCAAATGCAGATCTAGTCAGTGTTCTCCGTGACATCCCTTCCCTTTAGTAATGGTGGGATTTCTCCTTCTGGGTTGTTGTTCTGCTCACAATGGCAAACATGTGCTTCTCCTTCCCATGATGCTCTCTGAGCTGAATGTGTGCAAGCTTCATTAACATGAAATGCAGGCAAGTGTTCCCTATGTGAAATCTCTCTCACACAGTAGGTGATGCAAACAGCTTTCTCTAGGCTCATGGTATACAAGTGTGTGCACAGTCCATTTGTTGCTTGTGTAGCAGATATAAAATCATAAATTAGTTCATTTCCCAACATAAAGCTCACTTAAACAGGATGGATTTGTCCTATCCCCACCCCAAAGATGGCTCCAGGCCACCATCTCCTGGGATTCAGCATTCTTGGGAAAAGTCTTTGGCTACCTAGCTTTCCAAGACACTTCTCTCAGAATCATGGTCAAATCCTTCAAGTTCCACACTGATTTCCTGTTTGGATTTTACTCTGTTTAAAGAAAAACAAGCTAATGGCATTTCATTACTTTGAGAACAATCTGAAGTAAGCCCCTGGGAAAATATGAAAGAACAAATTTCTATGATTAGACTTGGAGCAGAATGACACAGTGTGTGGAGTTATGTGATTACTTTTCCATACAGTTCTTTAAACAAAATGCACAAGAATCTGTAGTTTAAAAGGAGAGACCTGTGTTATTTTTCTGCCAAACATCAGTAGCCTAAGCTGGATTTGTCCATAACAGAGAACATGTATGGGTTACTAATTTTTACCTACCCCCTAATCAGAGAAGGCAGTGTGGTGAGGGGTACTGCAGTTTTGACAGGAAAACAGCACAAGGGGAAA